AGGCATAGACTCAGACTTCAAGATATTACTAACAGCATATTTTCCAGTTTACAAGATGCAATGGCATGTAAGATACCCCTCAAAAAAATATTAAATTGTGCCTTTGTGACAGTCTGCCACCTCCAGCTTTCCCTTTTGGACCCTGAGGGACAATCTTCCAGGTGCTGCAGGCCACCTAGAGGGAAGGTCAGCGAGTTACTACAGCTTTCCCTTCCTTCCACCAGCTGCCTTCTCAGATGACAACGTGGGGATGGAGCATGCCTCAGCACATGCTCAGGCTGCCCAACATAGGGAAGCAAGCCCTGTCACATGTCCCTTCTTTTCACTGTTTCCTACCTGGATCTGAAGACTCATCAACATTTCTGGGTTGGTCTTCAAGATACCAGTATCTAATTTTAATTACCCAGCATTCTGACTTCCATAGTTTTGGTGTGTACCTACCAAAGTTTCCTTAAAGTTCCTTTTAAGATTTCTTTTTTTTGGTGGTGGGTGGTGAGTAGGAATCTCTGTTTATAAACTAAATAAATGGTATTCATAAATGAGAATGGCACTCTCTCACAGGATGGTGTATTCCAGAAAGTAGAGTGAAGAGATACATGAACCAGATATATCATAAACACCATAGGTGGCACAAAGCCATGCAAGCCATTCTTTGAAACAACCTATTTGGCATTTATGGTCTGCTGAAAAATCAGCTCCATCAGGCTGCCCTGTCTGCCACGTAATTTTGGACAACTTATTTCAAGCACCAGTACAATCTAAGGATATTGGCTTCCTGTCCAGTCCAATATCTAAACCGAGAAGGAATAAGAACTTGGTTACAGTCATCCTTCCCGCTATTAAATGGATTGAATAGCCCACAGCTCCCATTGATACTACCATAATTATAACAGCTTTCTTAGTCAACCATGCATATAGCCACTCTGGACTTCTTTTTAAAGGTGGTGGCTGGTACAGTTATTTCTTCTGACAGAAAAAGCTAAAACATGCCGTACACTAAATGATAAAGAAAAAACTTCAGGTGGCCTTAAGACGCGAGTCTGATCAGGTATTAACATATGGATACAAACAACCCCCCCTACCCCCCCAAATACTTTGGCAATTATTAACAAAAAGGATTTGCCCTCTTCATACCAACTCTCATGTTCTTATGCAAATTAGTTGGGTAGTTGTCTATGCAGTCCTGATCCCTCTGGTAAAATGAAAATCATGACTGAAGACACTGATGACATGTACTTTTCCCATATATCACACAAACTGGTGGAAAGTTAAGCATTAGCTATTTGCAGCCTCATGCACGAAGGAGACATGCCTCTTACCAGGGCAGTTAGACCTGCCTACATATGTCTAATTAATGCCCCTAACCAATTTACATTTAAAGCATGTTTAATATCTTAATGGAGCAATAAATTATACTGGGGGATGGGGAGAGGAATGACAGCCCCTCTCCAGCTCCCCTTGCTGATTAGTGCTGGCACAACAAGTTCCTAGGGCACTTTTTCTCCCTCTGGGTAACTTACCCTGTGAACATGAAGCAGGTCACATGGAGCAAGTTTCCACTGAGCAATATTACCTATTGCTTGATGGAAATTGTGTCTGCCAGAGGCCTAAGCAATACCATCAAAGTGGAGTAGTGCTGTAAAGGGGATAGAGAAGACGTGGTGGTATGACCTTCACTGAAATTGTCTTAACTGTCTATGGATTATGTGGGAGAACTGGGAACAGAAATTACTGCTGATTCTGAAGAGCAATGGAACAATCTGAAGAAAAATGATGACTACCTTCCAATTCCCCTCTTTTGCATGGGTAGTGTCATGAGAGAGAACGAAGAGGTCCATGATCATTACATTGAGAAAATGCATTTTAGACAGGTTTTTCAAGTGCCCTTAATATTACAACTCCATAATTTTTACAATAAATAGGTCAATTTAATCAAATGGAACAACTCTTGCACTTGCTATATCACCTACTAGATACTCAATCCGGTGATTACTTCAGAACAATACATTACACCATTTAGCTCTAATTTTGCAAAATGTAATCTTGAACTGATGTCTCTAGCAACACAGGAACTGCCAATCTGAATTACATCCATCTAGTTCAGTACCCTGTCCAATGACCACTGGCACATACTTCAAAAGATGACGAAGAACCCCACAGTTGGCAGATGTAGGATACTTTGGTGCTGCATCCAGCTCTCAAGTAATTTAAGAGAGACTGGCTTAAATCCTGAAGCACACAACTTAATATTTTTTCAAACATATTTCCCATCATTAATTATAAGCCTGGATATTTATATGGACACTAAGAATATTCAATTCTTTTTGGAATATTGTTAATGTCTTGGCTTCAATGATCTTTTGCAGCAATGAAGTTCAACAGCATACAAATATATTACATGAATTTACTTCTTAATTTGAATTTGCCATCCTTTAATTTCATTGATTGTCCTTTATATTTGTGCTATGGCAAAGGAGAACAGAAATTCCCAATCTACCTTTTCTATGTCATTTGTTACTCTACATATTATTCTTATGGTCCCTATTATTAGTTTCCTTTCTAATGCAGGTAGTTCTCTCACATGAGAATATTTCTACTCCTTTGATCATTCCGTTTCTGAAGCCTACCAGGTTAGCCATTTGTTTTTTGTGATGAGTTAACCAGTAAAGCGCACACAATTCTAGATGAAGCCATGATTCACAGAATATCATTCTAAACATCTTTATATTATTGACAGCTCCATTCATAATTCATCTAAACATCTTGCTGTTTTTTCTGAGTGCAGCTGCACACTGAACAGATCAATTCACAGAGTTGTCTATTTTTCCAGGATTTTTTTTTTGGTTGATGCAATTAATTTAGTAATATGTAGAAGTAATTTAAGTTTCCCCCTATCAACATTTCCTTTGCATATATTCAGTACTGAATTTTATTTGACATAGGTGAATTACAAATCAACCTTGTTTGGCTTTCTCTGCAGTTCCTCAGACTCCTCCAGGTCCTGACGTTCCTAAATGACTGTCATCTTTCCTAAATAATTGTCATCTACAAGTGTAGTCACCTTGGCTGTTTACAGATGTTTTTCTAGGTTTAATCTGGACTACAATTGACACTATACACATGTGGATGTTTGTAGTCTGAATTAAAATTGGTTCCAGTCCGAATTTACTAATCCTCATTGAATGAGGATTAAATATTAATGCAGACTAGGGCAGTCCAAACTAAGCAATTTAAACTGTATTAATTAACATGTATATACAATGTTGCTTTTAGGTAAAACAGCCCTTAGGAACTCAGCAGATAAGCACTGCAAATATGAATCCCCACAAGGGAAAGTCAGTTGGGTTTTTGCAACATAGACTATCAGACACAAGGCAACGCCTTTACAAAATCAAACATGCCAACACCACCTCACAGTGACTAAGTATCAGTTCCTGACTAGGCCCCCAGCCCTGCACAAGAACACCAATCATGAACGACTGGAACCTCCTGCGACTGGAGGGGACACTATGGTGGCGGGCTGGGACTTCTCGCAGCCACATCAGCAGCAAGGCAGCGACTGCCCACAGAAGCCAGCAGTGGCCACTCGGTTGGGGGGGAAGGGTGGGGGGGCTACCACGCATTGCCTCTGACACCAGCTACTAGTCTGTGAAGTGAGCAGCCAACCTTGGCCCTTCCTCCCTGCCGCACAACACATTGGCTAAGATGCTCATTATCAACACTCAGGTCAACTGCACCCATTAGAGCTTCTGGAATAGAACTTTAGGTATCTGTCAGGAGGTTTGCAACAATGTAGCAGTGCTTAAACAGGCTTATTATTGCCTCCTAATTACTTCCAACTGCAAATGCTAAGCACATGAGTCCACACAAAGAGGCTGTGAATTGGGTCTGTTAAGGGGCTGATGGTGAATGATTGTCTATTAACCCTTAATTCAACATGAAATTTGATTTGAACTGTGAGATGCAAATCAGTTAACATGGTTCAGAAAAATATGGTGCACACAACTACAAACGGCCCTTGCTACTAACTCTCCCTTTTCATTTATTCCAACTGTAGGGGAACTTGAAAATTCAGGATTTACTGTCAAACAAGAATACCATACTGGAGATTGACTACTGTATTTCAGTTTTGACATAAGAATGCAGGATGCCAAAAGTTTAGAGCTACAGTCTGTATGATGCATCTGTAGCTGACCGAAGCAAAGATAAAATTTTAGTGTTCCCATCTGTAAACAGATCCACGCAAACGAAATGCAGAATATATTCCTGCACTGCTGTCAAATCAACGGTAAAAAGAAGAAAAAATGTACCTACAATTTAGAAGTTAGCAATAATAAAGTTTAGGTATGAATCCAGCCATTACTGAACATCCCATAGTAAGTAGTTGTACATATAAAAGAAACTAGCAATATTCCTGAAATATTCTGAATAGCATTTACACAATGACTACCATTTCTGTTCGTTCACTGGGAGAGAGAGAGAGAGAGAGAAATAAAATTATTTTAAGAGAAATGAAAAATCAAATATACTCTGGTAAAATTAACACTGAAATGGCATCATGGCTATTGCTGTACAGCGAGTTCCAGGTCTAAGTATGGTAAGTACAGATGGTTTTTCAAGCTGCTAGCCCTACAAACTCAAACAGAAGTTTGAAAGTGAAATTGTGTTCTTTCTAGTTCTTATTTCACCAGGAATTAAGATTTGGCATTTAAAGCGTATTTAGCAATGTTATTGATGCTATCCTGTCATCAGTTATCTAGTTAAACCTTTCAATGATTGTTTTGAATACTGAGAGAAATAAATAGAGAGTCATTAAAAGTGAGAAGATAAGGCTATCAGTACTCAAAGGAACCTGACCTGGTGAATAAACTTCTGCCATTTTTAGTTCAAGATGTTACAATATGTAGTTCATAATGACCATATGTACTTGATACAATTCATTTTTTAATCTGTTCAGTTTTTATTCATTTCCAAGGAAGTCAACTACGGTATTTCAGTACCTCCATGGCTTGTGCTAAGCGCTCTTCCAGTGCCATGTATGTGAGAAACTGAGGATCCACATAAGAAATGGCTTGAGCAACTGCTAGGCCATCACCAAATTCATCAAGTAGTCTGAAAACACACAAAAATATGTAACATTAAGGAATAAAGCTTCTATTTTAAGTACTGTTTTAACAATTTAAGACTTAAGTCTATACTACAAACATGCTCAAAGACCCTTTAAAGCAGCAGAACACTGCACTTTGCTAGTGACAAAACATTGCCCTGCCACCTATTGAAGGCACATGAAACACTCCTGCATCTTCAGGAAGTTGGCACACTTCCCAGGTGTACTTAGCAACTTGACAGAACAACAACTACTGTATTGAAGCATTAGAAGTACCAGAAGCATATAGGTAGAAAAGCACTGTGGTGCATTGGTGTTGACAGCTACTTAGCATAGACAGCAGTTTGGATTGTAAAGTTTGATGAAATATGTCAAATAAAAGATGTGGCTAAATCCTCTCTTTATCAGTATTCATACTTAATCCAAAGGTAATCAGCAGTCTTAAACTGTACAAGGGGAAGCAAGAATCTAGGACCAAAATTCTAAAAAGGCATATGAAAAGCTGCAACTCCTCTGGCATGTACTAAGGAGGCAAAACCTGAACATAAACTTGGTAATGCATATGTGAACTAGATAACATGAGAGAATCAGTGAGGCACACAAAGATGGTATGTTTGACATGTTACCATTCATGACTCCACATACAGATGACTAAACAATCTGCATGTATATTTATATAAAAGTCTTTTTAAAGTTATGCATTATCAAAGGAAAAAAGGGTATATTGGACACCCTTCTAAATCAGTTGTAGCAGTCTTGCTTTATGGAAGACAAAACAAATTAATTTCACCTCTACACCTCTGTAAAATCAAAAATACTTCTGTGATAAAATGCTGACATTGTGAGATGCAGTTATTATTATACTGCTCATGTACCCAATGTGCTTTTTGTGTTTTTATCATCCCTAAAAAGATATCCATAAGTATAAACCACGACTTTAAAAAAAAAAAATTAAGCAGGTCCTGCTAAGATGACAATACTGGAATTTGCACATCTTATTTATTATGCAAGGAGACAGTAAGAAAAAAATATCCCAGACAAAAATAAAATAACGCTATATTTACTCAAAAACAAGAGAAGGTTTCCCCCACTCAATAACCATGGGAAAAAGCCCCTTGTCATACATTTGCATACAAGGACACCTCATTAAATACTCTATCATTAAACAGCTGCTAGAAGGAACACGTGCTTAGTAATGAAAACCAGCTATGAAGTTGATTAAAAGTAGCCAATGCTGAGCATGACTACAAAACATATAGCCCATACTCTGATGGGAACCTTTAATTTTTTGGATGTCCCTTAAAAAAAGAGGGCAGGTGTTCCCTCCAAAGAGAACTGGTAGCAGACCTGGAGGTACTGCAATAACCAGGCCAGCACCGGGAGAGCCATAGCCAACACTGACATTCCCCTTGGTGCCAAAAATGCTACAGTTGATATTAGCCACAAAGGCAGAGATGCTGATGGGAACCTACCATAACAATAGGTTAGTGCAGCACAGCTGAATAAAAAAAATATGGTAATGCCCTTTTAGCCGTCCCCTCAGCACCAACTCTTTTTTCCAAATCATGGTAAGCCACTAATACTGCGTACATTTCAACTTCCTTTTCACTCTCACAGCTGAGCTGTGCCTTCCACCCCCCCCCTTCCAACAATTCCTGTTTCTTCACCAGCCTTAAATACCTGGCAAACATCACCCAATGGGACCCCAGTTTACCCACAACCCTTCTATCACCCCCTCTCTCAGTCTGTCACATATGATTAGTGTGTGGCCTTGTCCTCCCTGAGGTGGAGCCAAACCAGGTTGCCTTGTGCTTCATTGGCATATACATTTTTGTGAATCCCAGGACTCAAAATAATAAGAACACCTAGTTCCAGTCATGAGTAAGTCACATGGATCTTTCTGAGGGGGAGGATAGGGGTATGTGGAGTACACATATTCTGAGTAGTGCTGAGCTGTGGGGTAACCATGGCTTGAAAATGCTGTTGACTCTGGTGGAGCCCAACCCAATAACCTATATGGTAGATCATGATCCTTTTGTCTTTGGACTACCATCATCCATAGTTTGTACTATATATAAGATAGTGCCAAAGTGCTGCTTAAAAGTGTTTGTGGAGTAACTGTGCTAAAACTTGCAGTAGTTTCAAAATAAGTAAAATGCATCAATCAATTCAGGATGAGCTAAGCCTATGGGCAGGGACCTATGAAAATCGTGATTGCACAATTTTTGCAAAAACTGATTTTGGGTGGCTCCACAAAAGAGCGCAGGCTCTGTGCTTTTGACAGGTTCCCTGAAAAAGCTTACCGAAAATAAAATGCTAGCTCCCTTTGGGGAGCCAGCAGTCTTCATGGCCACTGTGGCATAGCCACACAGCCTGCTGTGGAGAGAGAAACAGGGAAGGGAGGCTGCCCTATGGCAAAATGGCTGCTGCCACTGTCCCTCACTGCTGATTGGCTATGGCAGCTGTCCATCATACAGCCCTGCTCCTCTACATCAATCAGTGGTGAGGGGTGGAGCCACATGACTGACAGCCTTCATAGCCAATCAGTGGTGAGGGGAGAAGCCACCAAGCCCCTTTGGCCAGAGGCATGGGAGAGGCCTGCCAAACTCAGCCCATGAAAATGACTGCCAGCCTGGGGCTCTGCCCGTAAAAGTAGCCAGCCAGCGCCTCGAGATCAGCAGACTGCCACTTATGGATACTATATATGCAAGTTACTACAGGTGTGCTTATTTCAAGATTGGTGTTTTCAAATTTGCCCCTCACTTATTGTGTTCAGACATAGCAGGGTCTGCCAGTAAAGGGGGGGGGGGGGAGAGTTGCTGCAGGGGGAAGGCAGAGGGCAAGGAGGCTACCTGATCCCCCACCCCCAGATTTGTTTTCCCTGCTGTAGCAGTGGGAAGGGGACAAATACAAGGCAAACCTCCAATAGTTAGCTTCTATACCTGGAAAATTATAACAAATTTATAATTCTCCACATATAAAATCCAATTATTGGGAGGGTCATCTTATATTCTGAGCCAGCTTATATTTGAGTACATAAGGTATTACTCTCCCCATCCCCTCTTTTTTTAAGAATATTAATTCATGTCCAGTCTAGCCCTGAAAAAATCTGAAACCGGCACAGTAGCTTAGAAAGTGAAAAAAAACCCCAAAACCAAGCAACTAAATGAAGAAAAATGTTTATGGCAAGCTGTTTAAACATGTTCTCATTAATATTTTTGAATTTAAATGTTAAACTAATATCTTAAAAAAAAAACAAACACTCTCTCAACTGAACATGTGCGATATCAAGTCTTTAAGTGTGAAGAGCCCACTCAATTGATCCTTGAAGATCTTTAAAAATTTAAGTCACACACACAGAAAACCCCTTTTTGCATCAGATGTAAAGTTAGCTATTGCAAATTCACAGAATTTAAACAGAGAAGAACCATTAGCTATCATGCATCATGAAGGGAAGGTTTATAGGGAACACTGCAGCTCTCAGCCAGCTCTGAGCAGGGCTAATTAATGCAGATGAAGCTCTTTACTAATCTACTTTTCCTGCTTCTAGTATTTGAGCTGTCTTGGGTATCTCTACATGGTACTGCATTGTGCCACAAATACTTGCCCTAAATTTTCACTCAGTTATCCCAATTACTTAAGTTTAGCTAAAGTAACATTTTCAGCAGGCATGCCATAAATTAGCCCTGTGCCCTCAAAGTGCCCCTCCAATTTTCTTTTGCTGTCTGATCTGCTGCTCTGCCTTTTTGCTCCCTGCTATGTGCTCATTGCCTTATCTGTTGCTCTGTTTTTTGCTCCCTGCCCCATCTGCTACTGTGCTACCTTCCCCCTCCCCCAATCTTCCTTATGATGCATACCGGCTGCCTGTGTCACTTGTGGCATGTGTGCCACAGGTTGGTCACCCTGAGGTAACATGTAGCTTCCAGGAAAGCATCCACTCTTGATCTGAAGACATCAAGAGATAAGAATCCATTCCCTACTAGTTTGCTCCAGTGCTTGATCACCCTGAATATTAATATCCTATTTCCAATTTGAATTTGCCTGACTGATATCCAGCCACTGGTTCTTATTATGTTTAATTTAGCAACAAAATGACAAGTCATTAATACCCATTATTTCCTCCTCACAGGAGGTACCTCTACAATGTAACCAATATTTTCATCTAGCCAGTGTAAGCATCAAGTCTTTCCCTGTAAAACATTTCTCCATCTTTTAAACCATTTTTATGGCTTTCCCTCCCCGTCCTCTTCAATTTTTTTCAACATCCTTTATAAAGTGCAGATGGTAGGTCGTTTTCTATCAATCAATCTTACTAATGTTGCATAGAGCAAAAAAATCTCCCCCTCGGCATTTTTTGATATTTCAAAGGAACAGTATGATAAACTAGAAAAGAACCAAGTACAAAATTATTTTCTGTCATTTGTATGTGCAGCACTGTAAAGAGAAATACAATAAGGCTTAAAATGCTATTTTTCAATTGTAGGGACTTAGACTTGTAACTAAAGTAAGCTTGAATCTTTACCAAGCTCAAATGCATGTACGTGTTCATCATGTTCTTATTCTTGACAATCCAGAAATGAATCCAAATGCCTGGAGGGCAGGTCCACTGAGATTTACTAAATGGAACAATCAGGGATGTATCCTCTGACATTCCTAAACTGTAAGGAGTTGATGGCAGAGAGGTTATAATGGGGGGGGGGGGGTCTAGACATGCCCCACTTGCATATAAATCATGATGTACATGTCAGAGGTCTAGCCAGGTGACCAGTGAATCCACTTGTGGCTGTTAAACCCAACTCAAAAATGACACAGCTTGTTACTAGTTTCACAGATCTGTGTGTTGTCTGAATTGGAGTCCAAGTCTACAGCAGGCTTCTTCCTTCTTTCTCGCTTTCCTTCCATCCTCTGGATCAAAGTTGCTTCAAGCTGAGTTGCAGTTGAGGCCAGATGTTCCCTTGAGACTCAATGGTATTCTGCACATTCCTCCCATTCACATACTTCCCCACTAAAGCATCTACTATTAGTCAATATCCGACAGGACACTAGACCCAGTATGGAACTTTTAATTTTCTTACCATTACAGTAATAATTAGGAAGATCATAATGATTTCCAATTATAGCCCACTTAACCAGATAATGTCCATCTGTTGGAAGAACAGCACATACAGCAAGTTGAGCTTTAACTCACAGTTTTATCAGCGTGTTCAATCAGTAATTAATGTGTGACCTCCTAAATACAGGAAGGGAATAAAGTGACAGAATAATTAAAGTAATGAGGTCCGGCAGAGAGAACCTATTACATACCTCCACTCCACATCTAAGTCTTCACTCATGCTGGAGTCATCTTCAAGATTATTGTTCCCATCCAACATGAAGAATCCTGGGTGCACAAAATGGCTAACTGGGTCATTTTCCTCATCACTGCTACTTTCAATTTCCTCATGGTACTGCAACCAAGGAATCTCTCCTTCTTCCAAAGGAATCTGTTCCCTTTACATAAATATTAGAAGCTTAGTTATTAAAAAAATATCATTACCAAATCATACTTAAGCAATGGAGCATATTAATCTTAGGGGCTGCAAGTCCACAGGCCTCAGAAGCAATTTTGCACAGGAATCTGAACCAAGTGATGTTTGCCAACTTATAAGCCAATAGATCTGGGCATAACCCAAGTCAAGCCCCTATCATATCTGTGATCATGGAATTTGGTTCACCAAAAACAAACAGAAATTCATTAACTTTATTGCACTATTTGTCATCTTGGTGTGGCCATTTGTAGTCTGCTCTGGCAGGACCTGCAATCTCACTACTATTTGTTATCACATTCCTTATGCGTAGTGAAGTCACCACATTTACTCAAATTCAAGATGCAGTCACCTATCCCCCCCCATTTATCCTCCGTAGATCTGGCTCTAGTCCCACTCTGGTCTGGGTAGTGGCATATCAATGGGGGAGGGGGGAGATGGTAGGGGGCCATAGCCCCCAGGTGCTGGCCGGGGGGGTGTGGGGGGAGGCACCAGCTGGAGAGTCCACGACACCTCCCATGTTTTGCGTGTGGCCCACCTGCCCACCTGGCAGGTTGTGGCTTTCTTTAGCTGTTCCGGCCAGAAATTCTGACTGTCCTCCTCCCGCAGCCGGTGTGTCATGCTGCTAATCCCCCCGCGGAAGTGCCATGGGGCAGGAGGCGGGGCCCCGCACCCTGCTTGGATCATCCTGGGGGGGCACAAATGCAAGCGTTGGCCCCCAGGTGCCACAGACCCATGGTATGCTGCTGGATCTGGGGCACAAAGCACATGGTAGCTCTGGCCCCCGACACAGCAGGCCGCAAGGAGCAGGGGTCAGGCCACTTGACTCCCCTACCCCCTGTCCTCCCATCATTTGCCCTCCCAGCTGATGCCTGCCCTATTGCAGCTATGAGGGCAATTCATTTAAGATGATCCTGCAATAGTTAGATTCTGTACATGGAAAAGTATAGCACATTTACAAATGTTCCATGTATAGAATCTAATTATTTGGGGGGGGGGGGTCATCTTAAATTTAAAACAATCTTAGAATTGGGTAAATATGATAATTGGATCAGAGGGCATGCTCCTTGGACTGTCCCACTAAGTGGCAGCATTTAGTACACAAGAACCAAAAGTTTGGCTTGTTAACATGGAGTAGAAAAAGCCAACTGAGCTGCCTTGATAACATTACTAAACTGTTTCAGTCCATTTGCTATTGTGTCTACAACGTAAGTAGAGAGGGAAACTTCTTTATTTTTATTTCAGATTTCTCCTGGGAAAGTTGGAGGTAAATACTGTTCTATAACCGTGGTACCCTTGGCCTCGTGGGCCAAATGAATGACATAGGGCCATACCTCCTGTGCCAGGAATGGGCCCTGCACTGTCCTGCATCTCAGACAGGATCAGGCTCCAAACAATGGGATCAGGTGCACAGGGCCATGCTATCTGCCCCCCACCAAATTTTCAGAATCACTGGGTGTCCCATGGGCTGGAAAACATGATGCCTGGGGCCAGAGCTGGCCTGTGGACAAGGGATTGAGCACCCCTATTCTATAGAATAGGAATCCTAGCAAAAATGCTGATGGTTCTAAAGAAAAAAATTTTTGTTTTGCAATAAAAAAATTAAAATAAAAATCAGTATTTTAAAATCACATCCAAATTTTGTACTTTTGTACAGAAACAAAAGTATAGAAAAAAGGACTCTAGCTGGTTGTAACCCTTTAGATTTTTTTTTTTTTTTAATACAAAATCTAGCTCTATGCTTCAAACCCAGTCATCATCCAAGATGTGAGGAGTTCAGGTCTGGGTAAAGCACCTTTCCTTTGCTCTGGGGCAGCAGGCTTGGGACCACTGCCAAACCTCTGGGTCCTTGAGGCAAGTGAAAGAATCTGAACTGCCTTAGGTACACCAGAGCTATTATTATTAGGATGACCAAATGATGTTGAACTTTGCAAAACACCCTGGGGATCAGGGGAGTTAATAGACAGGCATGAAAAAGCTCTTTCAATCTTATGATTATTATTCAGATAAAGCAGATCAATCCTGGGATATACCCAGTCCTGGATAACTTCTTAAGGATGAAGTCTTTGTCCCCATCTTTATTTCAAGAGATGTGTCTGCTTACGGCATTGCTTTTGCTTTGGACGCAAGGCACATGAACCGAGACAGACATATCTGAAAGTCTTATGAACCAGTTAAAAAGTGATGCTCTAAGCCAGAGGTGGGCAAAATGTGGCCCGTGGGCTGGATGTGGCCTGCCAGGCCATTCTATCCGGCCTCTGGGGCCCCTAAAAAATTTAGAAAATAAATATTTATCTGCCCCTGGCTGCCTGCCATGCTTCGATGGCTTACCAAAACTCAGCCCTCGATGGCTTACCAAAACTCAGTAAGCAGCCCTCCGCCCAAAATAATTGCCCACCCCTGCTCTAAGCTTACCTAGTGACATAAAACAAAAGGTCCTGGGACAGTCCATCATTATCTGTACTGGTTGTCTAGAATCTTACTTCCAGAAGGACTCACATTCTCCACAGACTGCTCTGTACTCCAAACATGCATTTTTATCCCTCATTGGGCCCAGAAATTCTGAGCTCAGAGAACGTGAGAAACCCAAACTAGCGGGGAAGAATCTGTGAGAACAACTCTGAATCGTAAAGAAAGGAAGGAAAACTCACTTATAAACATTTGCCAGGTCCTTCAACCATTTCTGGAAAGGCAGAGCGTGAAAGAGAAACATCACTAGCATTTATAGGGAATGCCTGGCCTTTGGGATACACTGACTTTAACTAGTCCTCTGTACACTGGAACTTGTTTCTCTTTCCATAGAATGGAGGTACTAAATCCAGGCCTAACAGGAGCAGGGGTAAGAAAGGAGGTAAACAAAACCAACAACGCTCCTCAGCATCTATAGTACTTCCAAACAGATTACGCTATGGCAAGAAAAATCGCAGCAGCCACCTCTGCAATAAAAACAAGGTTATGCTTACTATTACGTGTTTGCCTTTCTGCTTCCATTTTTGCAGCATTCTGGCACACTTACTAGTGCATAGGAAAGTGTTTGGAAAGGAGATGAGATCTCCTGCTAATTGCTGGAGGGAACTGCTTCCTCTTTCCTCTCTGCTTATTATCTTTAAGGGAGGGGTTGCCATTGCCTACCCCTTCCCTAGGAGTACAGGGTTTAGAATACATGTAACTCTACTTCTTTCCTCTTCTTTCCAGCCCTGCACACAGAGTTGAGAGCAGTAGGGCTATAGACTTCCCCTGCTAGTGGCAATAACTAATTTTTTTCCCCAAGTTAAAGGAGCCCTTCAATCCCATGCTTTGTTTGTCTTTCTTTTTAAGTGGCAGCCCATGATGACCCTGACTTTTCTATGCTTAGGATCAGGGAATAAACAAAGGTAGTTGCCATTAAAAAACTACTATAAATATGAAAATGTGATTTTTACTTCTGCTGCTCTGCAAGAAACATGACTTCTTGATAATGTAGTGCTCAGGATAGAATCACATGACTTGTAAGTCTCAAAAAACTGAAGTCACAAGCAATTCCTTTTTCAACTGTTTTTATGGTGTAGGTGGAGAAAACAAGCCATTAGCTATATTTTTCTTCCAATTAGAAGAAGTCCAAATGCTTCATGAAGATGAATCATACAAATCTCAGCAGTTGTTTGTAACAGATCATTACCATGGCTCTGATACTTCATCTGGTGTGAAAAAGATGTATTGAATAGACCAACTCTAATAAGACAATGGGTCTTTTGTAGTTGTATTTAACACTCACAACTGAACAACAGGACAAATTTAGACACTGATGTGATGTAAAGCAATTTCAGATGGCAAGTTTACTAACTGGAGTGCTTGCACTTCGCTGGCTGCAAGCCATTTCCTGCAGTACAAAGAACTCTAATTTTTTTCAGGAAAGAAAGCTATTCTAAAAACATTAAGTATGTTCAAATAATTCTTCTATTTCATGTAGCAAACAGAGAAAATACTATACCCTGAGGAATACAAGGTTATACTCCAATAAGGTTTGTTGATGCTACAAACCACAAGAGTGAAATCTGAGTGGCTAGAATGATAGTAAGAAAAGAAAAGAAAGAAAAGAAAAAGAAAACAAAGAAAAAATCCCTAGAAAGGAACCTACATAGCCTTTTATTCAATTAGATAACTAAATGTACAGTCCAGAAAAGTGTCCCTGGTAAAAGTAATTAAAAAAAAATCCATTTCCTTTTGCATTACATAGTCAATGACCTGTCAAGTGTTGTGTTAAATACTTATTGATCATCCCACCGTGACATACAGTACAACTCAATGAAATGCCCATGCCATAGTAGGACGACTCAGAGTTTTGACAAAGATGTAGAATGTTAAGTTACAAGGAACACAACAGCAGTTCATATTTTACTGGAGCTTTTTATTTAGGTTTTAATGGATTTTAGACAAAAACATAAGACATATAAAGACTACTAGAGAAACTAGGTGAGTTCTACCATAATTCAAGAGGTATCTGAATTTTCATCTTATATTGCAGACCCTTTCTTAATCCATAGAACCATGCAGAATCCTTGTCCCCCTTGCCAATTCCAAATCCCCAGACTACCCTTCCATTCATTACCTTAATTTTCTGGTTAATAGAAAGTCATAAAGAAGCTAAAGAACATTAAAACATTTTATTATAAAAGTTGTTTTATCATTTCTTAGTTATATTCCACATTTGGTACAATATTATTTCCTTTCTCTGAATGCAGAGCAAGTATCTGTTATTATCCAATCTGTCTTTATCATCTACTCCTAATTTCTAGATTGCCTTACAGTTTGGTTCCTTCTTCTTATGTTTTTGCTACTCTTTCAATTTTTTGGAAGAAAATTTGATCATGGGTGAATTTATACTAACTACCCATGAAAAGGCAAAAGTTTACAGACAAATTCTTGTGCAACACTGGACAGCCATTGAAGGAGCTCCAAAAGGAGTAAGTCAGATCATGCTGCTTGAAGACTGCTCCATGCACAACAAACTTTTTAGGACTCTCTCTCACTTTAATAACATATGTTTCACCACTGTGACATATGCAGCTCTATAAATCAGCTTGAGAACTGCTGACTTAGAATATTTTTAATTACACTTAGACTGTCAACAGAAAAGCAAAGTTATGTATTCATGTTTCAGAATATTATGTTATTTTCTTTAAAAGATTCAGATAGTACTACCTATTTCATTGGCAGCCATTGGTCTCAAAAGTCCATGGAGAGTGCACCTTTGGTGGATTACTGGATACCACCACAGCTTCTTGAGTGGCTGAGGAGTCTGATGCATGACAAGTTGCACATAAAAACTAGGTTGAGCTTGTACTAGCATGCTAAGTACTGTTTTGTCTTGCTTGCCTCTGATGCCTCTTTTCTAGTTATGCTAGAGAAGTTATGCTACCTGTAGTAGACAATGTTTATTAGCAGAACTACCCGAGTTGTACTGTCAGCTGCCCATATACAGGCATTCAAAATCAGTGCCTAAATACAGGCATAAATGACAAGTCTATGTTGTGCTTAAAGTATCAACAGCTTGGCAGAAAAAGAAAATGACCAACCAGAAATTCATTATTTCCTACATCTTTTAAAGGGAAGATATTTTTTCTATATATGCTGTACTTCTGAAATAAATGTATTGTGTACTATTAACAGACCTTGCTGTTATGTGACAGATACCAAAAGCTTTTGCTTTCTTATAAAAATGAGAGGAGTTTACTCTTCATGACAACTTGATTTCTAAACAGAGCCATGGTTATTGTTTGATATAAAACTTTTCCTCCTCCATCCATGAAATACCTTAGTAAAGCTGACCTTAGCATTTTTTTTCTGCTCCCTTAGGAAGATACCAAGGATCTTGAGAGGTCAAAGGCTTTAAGTTTTCATAACTTAAACTTTATTTTAGACCAAAATCTTCAAGGGTTTAAAGTGGTAATAAAAAACAACACACGTGCAAAGGCCAAATACATACCAAGTAATGTTTCACGTTTATTTCATTGGGCAAGTAATACATCTGATTTCTAAATCATATCACTATGGTTACAGTTGCAAAGATAGGAACAATCTTGTGCCTGGACTGAAATTTGTGAGATGTTTTAAGATGCAATGTTTTCACAAATTTGTGAAAACACATTACATATTAACTAAGGGGGAAAAGCATAATGGAACAGGCTTGTGCTGGACAGCAGAGAGCACCTGAGAATAGGATAAACCTGGGAAGGAAGGCATGACTGCTGCTGTTTAATAAAAATGCCTCTAGATAAATTGAGAAACTGACTCACAGGGGCACTGTATCTAAATTCTCATAAACACATCATTTCTAAGCTTAGTATTGGGTACAGGTTAGTGTGTTCATTGCTATGATTGCAGGAAAAATAGACAATGATAAATTCAGTGATCATTAAAAGAAGAGAAATGAGAGGGAGAGAGGAATTGTACAAAAGTGTGGAAATAGATTTGTACAAGACAGCTTCTAAAAGTTGTAGAAAGATGGTAAAGAGAAGGAGAGACGACAATGAATGTGGCCAAAAACTAGATAAAATCCTCTCGTGCTAAGTTAGGTGAACTTACCCATTCTACCAAATCATCTCTTTTTCTTTTCTTTTTTGGCTTATATGATTTTAGTAATTCTATAGTTGTACTACAGTACTGATATCTACCATTAGAAATCAACAGTCACCCAAAGGTCATTTGTATGACTCACCATGATTATTTCCTAGTCTAAATACAGACCAATACTGCATTGTTTCTAATACAATTGGGAGACAATTACTAGTAAATGCTGATCTCATTTGAAATAATATTACATCTCTACAAACACAATTGGGCATACATCCTCTTAATAACAACTTTCTACTTGGAGAAAAAAATAATTCATTGCTGAAAAAAAAAAAAAAAAACAAAACCAAAACATTCTGAAATAATAAAAAAAAAACATACCCTCCTTGGAAACAGAATTCTGGATTCTCTTCTTCTAAGCCACTACTGTTGCTCTGCACTTCAGGTTCATGTTCTTCTCTGCCTGGAAGAGTCTCCCAGCTCTCATCACTGGAGGACTGGTCTTTTTCTGTAGTAGCAAAGTAGGAGGGCAAAGAGGCAGACCATTCCCCATCACTGCATTCAGAGCTACAATTAAGACAAGTTAATGTTACATTTAGAGTATCAACAGCTCAGCAG